GTATCTTAAGGTATTATTCTCTATTATTTTTCTATTTTTCTCTAATTTTTTGAAAATTTTCTTTTGTTTACTTTTGTCTGATTTTGAGTTCTTTTTGGGTAATTATTTTTGTCAGTTGGTGATTTGGGTTTACATAATTAGAAATGAACATGTATGGTTTATTTAGATTTGATATTTTTTGGGGAGTTTTACAGTCCCTTTAGGGTACTGTATGGATGAGATTAAAGGACTGTAGCATTTTGTTGTTTTTTAAACTGAGTGTTAGAGGGTGGTTTTAGAGGATAAAGCCGTAGAATGATTAGGCTTTATAAATCATAGCTTGTTTTATTCGCTACCCGAACGTAGACTTGTATAATTTACTTTAGTGCTTGGTAATCACTGGGAACTGATTCAGTTTGTTGAGTGTTATAAGAAGTACTGATAGGCTTTGGCAGCATATATAGGGGTGTATTAATAATAAGTCGTACATGGATATTTGAGAAGCTTGAGTCAAGGGAATTGTAGCTTCTGATGCATCTGTGATGTTGAATTGGTGATACAATCAGCACTAGTTTATCATGTTGTTGGATAGCAGTTAAAAGTTATCTTTTTGTATGAGAGAGTATATAGACGAAATGCCGAAATTTCCTGGGGTGTTATTATATTATTATTGTTGCAATTTTTTTCCTATCATTTTCCAGTCTCAAATGCTCAAGAATTGGAAAAAAAATTTCTGTTTCCCCAGATCACTGGATACACTTTTCTTCATCCTTTCAATTTCTCGGCTGTCTTCTCTTCTTCTGAAGGGTTGGCACTAACCTCTACTAAAGCATAGCCGGACTGCTCCACCCAGAGATGGCTGAAGGAAGTGGAAATGAGGAGACAACTCTTGAGCATACATCAATATGGGCAGTGGTAGTTGTTTGTTTCATCTTGATTGCTGTTTCCATACTTATTGAACATGGTCTTCATCTTCTAGCTAAGGTAAGCCATACATTTCTTAATCTCCTTTCACTTCAAACATTTTTCACTGATCAACAGACGCCTGCAGTTGCTTGATATTTGATGTTCTGGATTCCTATAGTACTTACAGAGGAAGAGGAAAAAGTATGTTCTTCATGCTCTAAGCAAAATCAAATCAGGTAAGGACACTTAAAAAAATCAGTCACACTTGTATGCCCAGTATTCTTTTCAAGTATCATGGGATTATACTACACATACCAGGGTTTATTCTGTACTTTTGAGTAGATAGTTGCAATAACATTTTTTTCCTGACCAATGCTCTGCATGGATATTATGTTATGTGTAGATTTACTGCTCTTGGGATTCATTTCTTTGATGCTGACAGTGAGAGAAAGGTCGCTTGCAAAAATCTGTTTTTGTCTATATTTTCTTGTACGTCTTCAGATTATGCAGAGCAATGGGTGGTGTAGAAAGGTTGAAATTGAATGGGGAAACCATGTCGTATCCAGCAGAGTTCAGGAAGCTGTCCAGGCAATATTAAACTTTGTCAAAAGAGAAGGCCCCAAGGGATGGGATGACCCATGGAGTTAAATATCAACTTTTTTTTCCTTGTTTTTTTGAATTGTTATGTCATTGAATTCAGGCAATGGTGGTCCTCTTTTTAGTTGTTTGATTTTTATATAGGTACGGAATGGCATCTATAGCGAAGTTAGTACATTAGTATAGTTTCTTTTCTTCTGAAAGAACTTATAGTTTCAATGGAAAGTTCAAAGACTTGTATATCTGACATAATTGTGGCATGAATGAAGTGAAGGATTATTTGTTGTTCTAAATTGGATCTTGGTGTTATTGTATGGTGTGATTAATTTCTCTTTACCTATGTATTCCTAGCAATTAAAAGTGTTAGCATAGCGTAGCTTCTAAAGCAATATTCTAATGTGGTACAATAGTTATCCTGACACTTTTAATTATCAAGAAAAATATTTTTGTTGGTAGATGAGATGCTATAACAACATAGTTTTCCTGATACATTTGAATGCTACGAGGTTACCATCACATTGGAAGGGACAACACTCGTCCCAGGTATGAGGAAAAGTAAAATGTCATGTTAGATTATCTATACTGACACCTTTAAATACCGCTAAAAGGCATTTTTGTTGTAGTGCCCCTTTTATTATTAGTAAACCAAGGTATTATCATGTTCCATATGTACGTGGGGATAGTGTTGACAGAAAGAATAAATAATTTTGTACATGGAAAGATGTATAGTAGTAGTATATAATTTTGTCCTTCTTGCACAATTTAAATGAGCATGGAAAGAGCTAGAGGACAAAAAAAAAATCCTCTGACAAAGCAGTCGCGAAGATGACTGCTGACCGATTTAGGATAGAAGCAAAACTGCAAACCCTTTTTCCCCCCTTCTTTGTCTTGGAAGTCGGATTTGGGCAACATCTAAATTTTCAAGTTATGGAACTAAATTACAAAAGGAAAATACATTTATTACAAGAAAGAATTTCCAATTACTATTGGAGGAGGAAAGATACATATTTATTATGTGCAATTGCGTCTTGTTAGTATATTTCTTACGTAATGATGTATAAATATTCCCCTATGTCTATGTACACCAACTTTTTTGGTAGAAAAATTTTAATAAGTGTAATTATAAACAGAATCACGTAAGAACTACAATAACTTTATACAAAACCATGGATACATAAGCAAACTTGACCCAAGTCCTAAAAATAAATATATCATTGCCATTAACAAAAGTCCCTAGTTCTTTTCCGGCAAGGCAGTGATATCAAAGTCTATGTTACTCTGGACCTTGGTACAAGCATCGGATTCAGGTATGTGTTTAAGTGTCTAATACATCAATCATCTAAAGTTAGGATATGGAAACACTTCTAAAGACTCGGACACGGGTAAATGGGTACACCAAAATTTCTTTAGAGACAAAAATGTACGTGGATCATTCTTTAGGATCTCTATGCTTTGTGTAATGATCCTAGATATTCTACATATTTCCTCTAGATATTTCAGATATTCTCTAGTTATTTACAGCTAATAATGTAAAGGGCATGGTTTCCATTTCTGGAAGTTAGTTAGCATATCAGAGAGTTAGTTGGCTAGTTAGTTTCTACACTGCATGCATGCATGCATGATCGTTCTGTTGAGCATTCTATTATAGCTAAGGCATGAAAGGATCTAGATGATGAATCCTGTATAAATAAGCCTAAGGGTAAGACGTGAAGGCCATGCTATCAGATACAACAAATTCATTTCTCTCATCTTCTGCATTTTCTATTTTCCCTCTCAAGACTCTCTTCCTTTTTTCCCTTCTGCTATCTCCCTTCCCATTTCTTGCTGAAGCAGTCATTATAGTGGTATCAGAGCTTTCGATCCTTGGACTAGGAAGCTGAAATCAATATAGCAATGGTAGATGGAACTCGAATGAAGACCATGGAGGAACAGCTACGCAGGCAAGACAGCAGACTCCAAAGAATTCTGGAATCCATGGCCGTAGACAAACAGATCATGGAGGAAAGGTTAGATGTAGTAAGCATAGAGCTGAGCAATAAGTTAGATGCATTCATGGTAGCCATTTCTCAACAGCTCTCTAGTTTGAACCGAGGAAATCCTGAGAAAGGAATATTGGGATCGCCAGAAGGAAGTCACTCCAGGAGCTCAGACATGGTGACTCGAGAGCAAGGATAGAGGAATGCCAGAAGTTTATTCTACGCTAGCGCACCTAAGCTGGAAATACCATTGTTCAGAGGAGACAATCCCAAGGAGTGGATCAGAAAACTTCAGAAGTATTTCCAGCTTCTGCACATTCCTATAGAGCAATGGATAGAGCTAACATAATCCACTTAGAAGGTAAAGCGGAAGTGTGGTATCAGGGCTTCAAGTCTACTAGGGGTAACAAGGTGGATTGGATGGAGTTCTCTGGAGAGTTGTGTAAGCGATTTGGGACATTGGGACAAATGGATCCAGTTGAGGAATTCAATAAGTTACAACTCTCCTCCACAATCCTAGTCTACCAAGAAAATTTTGAGGAATTGCTCTCAGAGGTAATATTTGAGCCCCACATCTTCCAGAAAACTATTACATCTCATGTTTTTTGAGTGGACTACCAGATGAATTAAGATCAATGATGAAGATTCACGACCCCAAGACATTATCCAAAGCATTTGAGTTGGCTAGATTGCAAGAGAATGCCTTTGAAGCCTATCACAAGAAGCTCAAACATCATCCGAAATCCTTCTCTTTGGGGAATACTCCACAGTTTGTTGCGCAGTACACCACTCCACATACCAAACCTGTTATTGCCAATGCTATCAAGAAACAGACTCCTCAGAACTTCAAAAAAAATCACACCAGCAGAGCTGCAGTACAGGAGGGAGCACCATATTTGCTATAAGTGTGGAGAAAAGTTTGGACCAGGCCACCAATGCAAGCAGAAGGAAATCCACCTGATTGTAGCAGTAGAAGATAGTCCTAAGGATTTGGTAGAAGGAGAGATGATTGAGTACCAAAGAGCACAGTCGGCCAAGGGGGTAGAAATGGAGATACATGCGCTGACTGGGAAGATGACTTACAACACTATCAAGCTACAAGGGAGGATCAAAGAAACTCCACTATCAATCCTGATGGATGAGGGAAGCACTCATAGTTTTGTCAAAGGGGCGGTGGCACAACTCTATCCAGAACTGGTCCAACCTATCAAGCCTTTCAGGGTTAGGGTGACCAATGGGGAGTACTTGACTTGTAATAAGATGATTCCAAACATGAGCTGGGAAATGCAAGGTAAACAGTTCACTCATGATATGTTTGTCATTAACTTGGAGCCATATGATGTGATTATAGGAGTGGACTGGATGGCTGCACACAGCCCCATCACCTTTGACTTCAAGCAGCTGAACATGTCCTTTGATGAGAAAGGGGAGAGGATCTTGTGACATGGAGAATCTAAGGAGACTGTCCTTAAACTTCCTAATGATAGTGCTGAGAATGAGAGGTTGAGCACCAGAATCTGGAACCATGCATGCAAACAAAAAATGAAGAGAACTCAGGTAAACACTGTGACTCATCCGGACATTGGTTTTCAACAGTCCCTAAGTGTTTTACTTGAAGACTACAAAGATGTATTTGGAGAACCACAATCCCTTCCCCTTTCCAGAAATTGTGACCATCAAATTCCCTTAGCACCAAATGCCAAACCCTTCAAGCTAGCACCTTATAGGTACCCTTACAACCAAAAAAATGAAATAGAACGGTAAGTGAAGGACATGCTCAGTAGTGGCATTATCCAACTGAGCCATAGCCCGTTTGCCTCTCCAGTTCTATTAATTAAAAAAAAAGATGGAACTTGGAGATTTTGTGTTGATTACAGACAACTAAATGACCTGCCTATCAAAGATACATTTCCAATACCTATCATTGATGATTTACTTGATGAACTATTTGGAGCTAAGATTTTCTCAAAGATTGATCTAAGAGCTGGATACCATCAGATCAGAATGCTTCTTACTGACATCCCAAAAACTGCCTTCAAAACTCACCTAGGATTGTATGAGTTCACTATTATGCCATCTGGTCTTACCAATGCACCTGCAACCTTTCAAAGCCTGATGAACCATGTTTTTGAACCTTACATGAGGAAGTTTGTGTTAGTTTTCTTTGATGACATCCTTATATACAGTCCAGATCCAGACACTCACCTTTTGCACCTCAAAACTATCCTAGAAACACTCAAAGCTCACTCCCTATTTGCCAAGCTTTCCAAATGCATCTTTGGACAGTCTCAAGTAGAATATTTGGGGCATATTATCAATGGAGATGGAGTGCAGGCAGATCCATCAAAAATTAAGAGCATGGTGGAATGGCCTACCCCTACATCACTAAAGGCATTGAGAGGATTTTTGGGACTCACAGGGTACTACAGGAGGTTTGTGAGAGGATATGGACTCATTGCCAAGCCACTCACTGAGTTATTGAAGAAAGAAAACTTCCACTGGAATGAACAAGCAGAGCTATCCTTTCAAAAACTGAAGCGGCTGATGAGTAGCACACCAGTCCTAACACTTCCTAACTTTTCCTTACCTTTTGTTCTGGAAACAGATGCTAGTCATAAGGCTATTGGTGCAGTCCTAATGCAACAAGGGAAACCTATTTCCTATCTCAGTCAAGCTCTGGGACCTAAGAATTTGGGACTGTCCATATACGAGAAGGAGTTGCTGTCCCTTATTACAGCTGTGTCCAAGTGAAGGCATTACCTGTTAGGAAGCCACTTCATCATCAAGACAGATCACCAGAGCTTAAAGGACCTATTAGAATAGAAGATAACTACTCCCCTACAACAGAAATGGCTCACTAAGTTGTTGGACCTGGATTATGAAATACAGTACAAGAAAGGAAAGGAAAACCTAGTGGCTGATGCACTGTCTAGAAGAGGTTATGAAGAGGACAGCTTTACACACAGCATCTCAGTCATGAAACCTACATGGCTGTCTAAAGTCTTGGAGAGTTACCAAGGGGATGGTACTGTGACTAAGTTGACTGAAGGCCTAACTACTTCACCTGATTCTCTCCCAAATTACTCTTTTGCTGGGAATTTACTCAGGTATAAAGGCACGGTGAACATTGGTTCCTTAGGGGATTTGAGACAGAAACTGATAGCCTGCTTTCATGACTCTCTCATAGGGTGTCATTCAGGCAACCTGGGGACCTATCAAAGATTAAAGTGACCATTCTTCTGGCCAGGGATAAAAAGAGAAGTGGAACAATGAGTACAGCAGTGTGATGTTTGCAAGAGGAGCAAGGTAGAAAATTGCAAGACACCAGGACTGCTACAACCTCTACCTATTCCGAAACAAGCATGGTAGCATATTTCAATGGATTTCATTGAGGGGTTACCTAAATCTCAAGGGTATGAGGGAATACTAGTTGCCATTGACAGGTTCACCAAGCACTGCTATCTCCTAGCATTACCACCTAAGTATACAACACAGTCAGTGGCTAACATGTATTTTGAAACATCTATAAGCTACACTGATTACCCCTGAGCATTGTACCTGATAGGGTTAGGCTGTTTACCAGCTTGTTCTGGCAGGAGTTGTTTGGGAAGTTGGGCACGGAGCTGCACTACTCTACTGCTTACCATCCCCAAACAGATGAGCACACAGAAAGGTTGAACAGATGTGTGGAGACATATTTGAGGTGCCTGTGTTTCCATCAACCCCATAAATGGAAGTCCTTGTTAGCTGTTGTTGAATGGTGGTACAACACCAACCACCACACAGCCTTAAAAATGAGTCCCTTCCAGCCTCTGTATGGATATCCACCATCTCAACTAGGCACCAATGCCTTGGAGACTCCAGTAGCTGCTATGGAGCAATGGCTAAGGGACAGAAGAAAATGGAATGAGCTGCTGAAGGGCAATTTAATCAAAGCACAGAATCGAATGAAGCAGTTTGCAGACAAGGATAGGAGTGAAAGGAGTTTCCAAGTGGGAGATTGGGTCTATTTGAAACTGCAACCTTATAGACAATCGTCTGTGGCAGTCAGGAAGAATCTGAAATTATCTTCAAAATATTATGGACCCTACAAAGCTCTTCAAAAGGTGGGGAATGTAGCCTATAGGTTAGAATTACCTGCTGGCTCCTTGATTCACCCTACTTTCCATGTCTCCTTACTCAAGCCTTCAACCAAGAATCATGAAGTGACTCAGGAACTGCCTTTGACTACTGTGGATGGACAGGTTAAAATTGCCCCTGAGAGTGTTATTGCTACTCGTGAAATCATGAGGAAAAGACCGAAGGTAACTCAAGTGTTGATCAAATGGTTGAACCTAGGCACTGAAGACTCAACTTGGGAGGATGTCACAGTGATACAATCACAATTTCCAGATTTCCAGCTCAATCCTAGTGACTAGGATTCTTGAGGGGGAGATATTGTAATGATCCTAGATATTCTAGATATTTCCTCTAGATATTTCAGATATTCCCTAGTTATTTACAGCTAAGAATGTAGAGGGCATGGTTTCCATTTCTGGAAGTTAGTTAGCATATCAGAGAGTTAGTTGGCTAGTTAGTTACTGCACTGCATGCATGCATGCGTGATCGTTCTGTTGAGCATTTTGTTATAGCTAAGGCATGGAAGGATCTAGAGGATGAATCCTGTATAATAAGCCTAAGGGTAAGACGTGAAGGCTACAACAAATTCAGCTCTCTCATCTTCTGCATTTTCTATCTTCCCTCTCAAGAATCTCTTCCTTTTTTCCCTTCTGCTATCTCCCTCCCCATTTCTTGTTGAAGCAGTCATTACACTTTGTCAAGAGGTTTTTTTTTTTAATTTTTATGAAATTAATGTATGCCAATGTCAATTAGAAAACTACGTGGAGCATTCTTGTTTCGTCTATAAGAGGCAATATACATTAATTAATGGTCAATTGATTCATGTCATCATAATAATAAACAAGACTATTACAATTCTTTAACTTTTGAAAGCAATTGATCACCCAAACAACATACTAGGAATGGTCAAAAATTCTTATTATATCATTAGAAAGAATATTTAATTGAAGAACTAAAAACAAGAGTTGTAGAATTTGGACAGGGCCTTTCTTAACTCTTGAGTATTTTGTTTTTGAACAATAAGAGAACTTGCATCAAATATTTCTCTCAACTGTTTCGAAGACCACAAGATATGCTTTTTCAATGGAAAGGAAAACAATGGCTGAACTAGTGGCTGATTACTCTCTTTAGATAGCAAAAATAGGTGTTAAGGCGATTATACCTCTGATGCGTGTTACAAAATTGATTAAGTACTAATAATGACGAGTCACAAATGGGTTATATATCTGTGAGATGATGGGTCAAGGCCCTGCAGAGTGTGTTCAATATAGTAAGTTTTAGTACGTCACCTCCATGAAACAACAATTTAGCCTTTTCTTTACTGTAATCTACTCTAATCTACACTATTGAAATGAGATAAAAATCTCACATAACACTATTCTTTGCTCCATATAATAAACTCCAATAATATATCTCTCTAATCTATCATATATTTACAATAACAAACAGATAGATGGTAAAAGAATCTTTTCATGGAGTTAGAAAAATAGTAAAACTAATGAAGTAAGGACTCTATTGTTAGAAATTTTATTTATAGATTTGAAAAATAGGAGTTAAAATAAAAGTTGGCAAATTAAAATAGGTCATTATATAAGTTTAGATTACAAAACATAATAGTTTAGATCATAGTTATTAAACCCGGCTCGGGGAGGAACCCGGTGAAAGAAGTGGGTCAACGGATTACTGGTTCAACCAGTGGATGAGTAGTCCAACCAGTGGGTCACTAAATATATTTAAATATTATGTCGCATAATTTTTATGCCATAATAAATATTCAATTAGTCTAATTTATTATAGAATCATTAATTCTTATAAGAATTAACAACCTAAATTTAATTAGTAATCTACCAAATTTTAAGTATAAAATTTTATGTAAGTTTAATTATCTAGTTTATTTAGGAATTTTAAGTGCAAAAGTTTAGATATTTTCCTTTAAAAGGAATTGCTTAATATGTTATTTTTTAAGTCAATTTCATAATTTATAGAGTTTGGGGAATAATAAAATGTTATTATTAAAAAAGTCTAAATAAATTTTCTTTTGGATAAACAAAATAAGAATAAAAGTCTACTATATAATACAAGAATGACAAAATAACAAACAAGTGGGCGGCTAGTCCAGCGGAATTGTATTCAAGTCATGTGCTTGAGGTTGGGTGTTTGAATCTCCATCCATGCATCTTTAAAATATTTTTCCATATGGGCCGGGTTCCTCATAAAATCGGCATCTTTAAAATATTTTTCCATATGGGCCGGGTTCCTCATAAAATCGGCCGGTTCATCAGGTTGACCGGTCAAACCGCCGGTCCATTGAAAAGCCAACAATTTGAATGCAGAAATGATCCTATGAAGAACTCAATCCGGTTTCGTGGGCCGGGTTCCTCATAAAATCGACCGGTTCATCAGGTTGACCGGTCAAACCGCCGGTCCATTGAAAAGCCAACAATTTGAATGCAGAAATGATCCTATGAAGAACTCAATCCGTTCGTGGCCGGTTCATCGGATTGACCGGTTGAACCGTCGGATTGAGTTGTGTTTAATAACTATGGTTTAGATTAATTGTATAACAGTCAACTCATCATTATATAGCCATTATATCCATTATGGCCATTGCATAATAATGTATAGAATTTGTAACCGAAAACATTAATAGATAATTATAATATATTTGTAATTTTTTTAAAAAAATCCCATCAGTTACTATGGAGAGGAATCCATTAGAGCAAAAGTGTATGGCTTCACCAGCGTTTGTGCACCACAACTTGCAACTCCAAAATTTCGATCAAGGTATGGCACCTGATTTTTGGAAGGAGCCACTAGCTTTCCCAAACGAAATATTTGTTGCTACTGATCATAAAATCATCCTACCTGTATCATAAAGTTGTGCACCCTGAGGATGGTCACCTCGGCCACCCCCACATGTCCGAGGTGAACCCACCTCGTCCCTCATCGGAGCTCATCCGTGTCTTGAGCATAACCCTTGAGTTCGGCCGGATCCCTAGTCTACCGCGTAGGTGACCTCGGCACCTCCACCTCAGCTGCATGCTGATGATGTCAAGCCACCTGACATCACCCAGGACCAGTGCTTTATCTGAAAAGCACTGGAGGCACTTAATGGCACCTGCACGATACTCGCCGTCATCATACTCAGAAGGCTACAGTGTCAGGGTCAGGCCTCCTGACAGGGGACAGAGCCGTAATGCCAGAGAGTGGGTCCCACTAGCATGAGCCTTCCGCCCTGTCCTCTACTCTCCTCCTATAAATACCCCACACACACTCCCAACAAGTAAGCATACTGTTCATTGACTTTTACTCTTATTATTCTCGTTCTCATACTAACTTGACCGTCGGAGTGATCCCAGGGGAGAAGCCCCGCCTTCCACTTCGACCGTGTAACTTCACTTCATTCCACCCGAGGTGAAATAATCGAGTTCACCTCACCACCCTGACAAGAGAGCTGATTTCGATTGGACCGATTACCCGCCAAAAATCACTTCTTCACACCCATCTTTTGATCTACTTACAAGAAGCCCTGTCAAGTGCGGTAGGAAAAGAAGAGAATATATATTGCCTTGTTATTAATATGGTAAAATAAAGTAAGATTTCGTGTACGAGGTCCTCAATTAGTTGCAAAATTCTTCAGGAGATTGAAAGTCTGTTGTCTTTTCTTTGGATGGGTTGCCACTTTGCCATTACCTTGTCGGTGCTTTCTCTTCCACATAGGATGCCTTCACAGCCATGTAGTTTAAACTCTACTAATTGTTTTCGAACTACAGCTCGTTTCACAATAATATCTTGAAGATACACTCTATTTTCTAAAAATTCAAAGTAACCCATGATAAAACATTGGCATAGCGAAAGAATTCTCAAATCAAATATACATGGTTACAATATTGTGATCCCACTATTGCATCACAAACATCTCTTTTAAAAAATAATAATAATAGAGAAGGGGTAGAATTTAAAAAGTGGGGAGGGAGAGAATTGAAACCAAAGCCCTAAATCCTAGGGCCATAATTTTTGGTAATTAACCCACCCAAAAGCATTCCAATTTTGCTTTTGTTTCCCAAAAAAAAAAAAATCATTAAAAACATGCAAAATAATAAATTTAATGTGATTCGCATGCACAAAGCATGTGAGTTTTTTTTTTTTTTTTTTGTGAATTGTGACACTGAGCTAATATGTATTTCTTAGCCTAGTTATCTCTAGTTGTTATGTGGAGTTGATTTAGCTAATCTATACTCTATATAAAAGTGCCTTGGTTGATTTACATTTTAGCGTTTCTTACCTTTATGATCTTCCTAATATGTGCATACTAATTATGATTATAGGTTAACTATAGAGAACAAAATTGTCATATTAATAAGCATATTGAAAAAGGACTTATATAGTCTTACTCTGCTATTAAAGTACGAGTTCTTAATTTGAAATCTTAAGAAATCAACTGGCCGAATTTTTCCTCTCACTAAATGTATCATAACTATAAGTGGAATTAAATTAGAACTACATCATTAGATTCTGATGAACTTCTCTTTTTCAAGTGAGCATGCCAGTAGTTTTTTATCTCGTTGTCTGTTCATCCAGGCAATCTATTAGCAATAGCAAACCATCTACAGAAGAAAAGAAAACATTTATTTGTGAGTAAAAAAGAAAAGAAAAGAAAGAAAACATATTTTGTATAAAGACTCTTTACAATGCCAACCATCAATTACGTGATTTCTAACTTAAACAAAAATTACATGATTTCTATTTCACCTAAAGATTTCATACAATCAGTGTTCACAAAGGTTTGCAAGCTTGCATGCATACATCATTAATTTTGATAGTCGCATTAATTAGGGTATTTGATATACATTAGTACTAGAAATTGTCCTTTCTCATTAACTTCTTGAAAAACATATAAAGATACAAATTAAGAGACTTCTTACCAAACATAAGAGTAAGAATTATATACAAATTCAATTAATTAAATTTAGTAGCACAGTTTAATCCATCGAAGCCTGCAACTCTTTCCGCACCTTAATAAGCCTGGGATACTGTTCCAAGTGTAGTGTAACTCAACAAATGGACTATATTCTTCTTCCTTCTTCATATACTTTCTTTGATATAATGATGAGATTATAGAAAGATTGGATTTGGTGCAATCAAATAAGTTAATTATATTAAATATTTCCATTCTAAATAGCTTGACATTTAAGAGCTATAACATAGAAAAAATTTATTTTACTTTCAAAAATCAATTTGGCTAATGGGGGTGGGTGGCTACTCAATAAGAGGGCACTCATGTCTAAAGTTTTGAAAAATATATAGATAATTCGAAAACGTGTCCCAATTCAGAGGAAGTTGTGTGTGTATTTATATGACAATTTAGGTATAGACACCCACCAGAAAATTCCTTTAAAAATTATGGTTTTAATGGAATTGTTTAAGTTAAATGCTCTTGTATTCATTCATTGCTAAGTTAACATCTGATAGTCATAAACCAATGCATAGTAGCTCAATTCTTCAATGTTATACCTTTGTACGGCTAAAGCAAGCAAGCATGAAGTATTGATGTTAAATAAAATAATTTTACTCATAGGACTTAATCAAGATGGTCTACAAAAGTGCACAACCAAAAAAAAAAAGGAAATGAAAGATGGTTTTTAAGGATAAAACTCTAACCATACATTAAAAAAAAAAAAAAACAGCACTATAACCATTTAATAATACCCCCAATATGCAAGTGATTGATCAAACATATGATTGTCTATTAGTTTTGTTTGTATCTATGCATTTGCCAAGAGGATTTGGGTTTAAACTGTTCGTTGTATTAGGGACATATTATTATTCCTAAGTTGGCTAAACTATAGCTCTCTTTATCTGTAAAATCACGTGTAATTTTCTATTATTTATAACTATTTAACCACAAGTTAATTTCTTTAAGCTCATTTCTACTATTACAGACTATAGTTCGAACAAAACTTTCTACTTTAACTTAATTTCTAAAGTAAAAGGTTGTAGTTATTATGAACAACATATGGAAGTTCTTTCCAATTTCAAAAGAGAAACTAGGAGAAAAATGCATTACAAAAATTTATTACTGCAATTAGCCATTGCGACTTAGAGAAGAAATTAAAAATAATTGAAGAATTGTGTTTGTGTTATAATCAATGTTTGAAAATTGGACTAGACCAGCCAATTCGACTGGTCAGACCGCAAACCGGCCAAGTCTCTGGTCCGGTTCATTAATATTGTTGACTTTTCATAAAATCGGTCAAAACCGCAAAAAATCGGTCGGACCGTTAAACCTAAATTGAACTGTGAATCGCAATTTTTTCATTTTTTCCCATCTTTTTTTTAAAATAAACCTAAAGTTTAAACACAAAACTTATCTATTGAATCTTTGGTTCTCAACCCTTATTTCTGAAAGAGTAACCAAATTCTCTCTATTTCTCACCCTCAAACTCAAAGATCGCCATTTTCTTTTGTAGTTCGATTGAATTTTGTTTAATTTCAGAAATTCCAATGCATTTTGTTTAATTTTAGAATATGGCTGTGGTTTGTGTAGGATTTAATATTTTTTCCTAATAGGTACAATTGAGATGAATTTATTTATTTGAATTTACAATTTTAAAATTTATTTGTGTTTAAAAATATTTAATTTTTTTATCAAGTGATGTCTTAAATTAGTCCATGGAATAATCTTATTCTATGCACAAGAGTGTGTGTGTGTGTGTGTTTGTGTGTATGTGGCTATATATATATATATATATATATATATATATATATATATATATTATATCGAAACCGAGGTTGAACCGGTCTGTTTGATTGAACCTCGACCTGGTTATTTCACTGGTTCAATTAGCAGTTCGAGTTTCAACATATATATATATATATATATATATTATCATCGAACCGAGGTTGAACCGGTCTGACTAATTGAACCTCGACCTAGTTATTTCACCGGTTCAATTAGCGGTTCAAGTTTCAAAACATTGGTTATAATATAACCTTAATCTTAGATCTGAGCAAGTTTCTTAACATTCCGCATCATGCCTAGTAGATTGAAGGTTTTTAAAGTTGAATATCACTATATATGAGTTTGATACTAAAAGTAGTGACTTTAATCAATTTACAAAAGTAAAAAATAAGTTACATGATTTTTCAATGTGAATGGGTTTAAAAGTAAATACTACAAACCTTATTTCCACTGGAATTAACTTTCTTACAGTTTGCCTAGAAAAGAATAAAGTAGTTTACAAACGTTGGTTATTTGATTATTTTGATAAAATTCTACATGAATAGAGCATATTTTGGTGACAATTGTTGAACTTTTCTATTGTGCAATGAATAAATACTCATTAGCATTTAAAGAAGAAGAAAAAAGGGTAAAAATGGAATGTCTTAAAATTTTGGATAACTTATTGCAAATAGAACTAAATAGCATAATTAGAAAATCATCAAAAGCAATCCAAAAAAAAAAAAAGAATTTTGGTGCAAAAGCAATATATGCAGTTTTATACAATTTAAAAGGAAAATGACATTTTCCAAAAAAGGGAAATAGGAAGAAGAAATATTGGGGAAGAAGGGGAAAGAGGAAGATCAAGAGAAAGGATAGAGGAAGATCAAGAGAAAGGATAGAGGAAGAAGGGTGCAAGGGAAGAGGATGAGAAATGACAATGAAATTTCATAAATTTTAGCTTTAGTTTCTCTTCTTTTTTTTTTTTACTTGTTTTTTGTTTGCCCTTCCATCACCTTTGGTTTAATTTGTATTTCTTTGAAATAGTTTGGTTGAAAAAGCTTTCAGTTAGTTCCTAGAAATTGGTATATTTTGCCCCTTTAGAAGGTGGTCGGAATTGGAGATTAGATCTAAACTAGACTGATTTGTTTTTGTGAGAAACATAAAATTAGCAATTTAAATATGAAAAGTATTTTTTTTTTAAAGTAAAAGGTCTTAAATTCAAGATCTTCTACTTATATTTCCTTCCACGTTACTATCTAATCCAACCCTTTCACCAAAATATGAAAAATGTTAAAATTCTTTTGGCAAAATATTAAAGATGATTTGTCCTATTTTCTCTACAAGAAAAAAAAAAGGGGATTATACAAAAGCCAACACCAATGTTGGTTTAGATTTGTATCCAACTCAAACAACAGCTGTCTTGTAGCAATTAACTTATGCCCAACAAAACACTTCCTTAATTACTAGAATATTGACAATTTTGACTCTTAGACTAATTTTCTTAATTGTATACATGCATCGCACCTGCTTTTTGATAGTTTTCAAAGTGGGGTATCGGTAAAAGTTTGTAAGTAAAGAAATGTGAATAATCTTTAGACAGCAATTTTATCACACTTGGAACACATTAAATTCTTCAATAGATATAAATTTGCATCAAAGGAGGAAAAAAATTCATAATTTTTAAATAAAGCCTAACAAAATTCTTAATTTATGAGTTCCTTCACAAGACCTTAATAAAATGAGCGTACTGTTCCTTCCATTGAACGAGCTCAAGGTTCTTTCCGTTGAACGACCCTACACAGTTTTTTTTTTTTTTTTTTTTTTGTGTGTCTAAAAATAGAGAGTTCAATGTGACTTCAAATCAAAGATGGTGTCATGTAATGAACAAAAGAAGAATGAGAAACCAATGCAGGTCTCTGCAATATGGAGAATCAACTTCCGCCATCCGGCTTCTGAAGCCTTGGAAAATAATAACCCTTGGTAGAAACTTCATTCTTGGCGAATATACCCTATAATAGATCTTCCTAACTTCCTCATCCCGATCGATGCATTTGGTCTAATCTTGCACTGCAGGTTTTCTGAGACATCATCAATTGATTTAAGATTTGACTTGATCACTACTTCAACTAGGTAGCAAGTCTCAGCATTGGCGTTTCCCTCAGGCACATCCACAACAAAAGATTCAATGACAAGAACTCCTGGTCATCCCTGAATCACTTTTGGATGGACTGAAAGAACCGAGGACTAGTTCTTGAGTCTATGATAACCTCCAATGAATCTCACGTTAAGTACATGCTCTTCATCATCAAGAAGCTCTAACCTCTTAGTCTCGGTAGTGGCAGGAACCTTGACTTGACATCCACTTCTCTAAAAGACTTCAAATCTTCAGATTTCCATGAACAACACGTCGGGTGTCTAACAATTTATCCTATTGGGGCTTATCAAAGCTCCTAACCGGAGACCAAACAAGATGAGCTAGAGCTTTGATGTGCCTGATGAGAATGGAACTGCATTTTTTTCATAGTCGGCTGATACCCGTGATGCTTCTTGATATAATTTTTCTCTACTGTGCTACATCTTCTTTGCTGCTTTCATCTTAACATCCAATCATCGACGGCTGCTGGTGAAATTATTCCATCTTCGTAATGCACCAAAACCAAGGACTGCTCCTAAATATTACTCCTTGCTCTCACTTTGATAGTCCTGTTTTTTTTTTCACACAGTTTAAGAAAAAAGTAGTTAATTTTGTTGGAACAATCAATTTAGGTACCTATTTTCCTAAAATACCCTCACATTAATTAGAGTATAATTTTATGAGAACTTGAATTGATGGTAAAAAAGGAATTAACTCTCATTGGGGTAGATTTATAAGTAACAATAACTTACATTGAATAAGGGTATTTTAGAAAAATTAAAATACAACTACATTTTTCAATTAGAAAGTGGATTATAATTTGGAACAGACGAAAAAGGAAAATAGGACTATCAAAGTGGGACGGAGGGAGTAAAAAACAAAGGAAACTAGGTTGAATCTTGGACGTCTTACGACTACTTGTTACTATTGCCGATATATAATACTTATCCATCGCAGTCTTTGAGCTCACAAGAGGTTAAATTTCTCCTCACTGCAAGACTAGTTTCACCAATTCGGTTGGGTGACGTCATCAGGTTGGGTTGGGTGACGTCATCAGGTTGGGTTGGGTGACGTTCAGGATGCCGAGAGCACCTTCTTCCTTCTTCATAAACGCAAAGAACATATTTCTCACCTATCCCAGATGTGTTCTTCCCAAACAACAAGCATTAGATGCAATTAGGAACTTGCAGTTTCCTATTTCCCCCATTTACATACGGGTTGCTAAAGAAACACATGAGGATGGTTCTCCTCATCTACATTGCCTCATCCAATTCGAAGGTAAATTTCGCACTGAATCTGCTAGATTTTTCGATATCAAATCTCCCATCTCAAATTCGATGTTCCATCCGAATGTTCAAGGTGCCAGGAATTCATCAGCAGTTAGGGATTACATATCCAAATACGGTGATTTCGTCGAATGGGGAGAGTTCCGGCCAGATGGCCGGAGCAGATTCTCATCTGACAAAGCAGATGAGGTATATGCCGCTGCGCTTGCCGGGCAAGATAAGGGCATGGCCCTCAATATCATCAAGAGGGGCGATCCCCGATCGTTCATTATCCATTACGACAAGCTGTCCAGCAATCTGGATAGAATATTCCAGAAGCCACCAGAACCATATGTGGCTCGTTTCCAACAGTTTGAACGCGTTCCTTCGTCCTTGACCCATTGGGCCGATGCGAATGTTACTGGGCCTAGTAACAGACCACACAGGCCCATGTCCATAATAATTCGACTGATCCTCTCCTTCGACCCCCATTATCTGCTAGATTTTTCGATATCCAACCCATTGCAACTGATCCTCTCCTTCGACTCTCGTGTCGAAGATGAGCACCCGCACCTTGCCGGTGCTGTTGATCGGAATCTGGGGAGTATACTTGATTTCGCAGTGGTCGATTAGCATGGAGAGCCTACGCACCCGTTGGATAATTGTCGAGGAGAACGCAGGGAAGGAGATCCTTATGGTCTGAGCATCTGATGATGCTCGTGCTTCCATGATATCTGATTTGTAGTATCCAGCAATGGATTGATCAGTTGGTATCTCCATTGAAATGTTCACGTGTTCCTGAAGTTGATGGAGGATAGATGATGAGGAAGGAAGTGTTTGTGTTGTGTTGGTGAAACGGTGTCGTTTATATAGAAGGATGTGTGTTGGAACTGTTTAGGACCTCTACCCATATGACGTCAGCCAACCCAATAGAATGACGTCACTCAACCCATTACAAAGTATCTGTTGTATTGGGTAGACTGGGTTGAGTGGGACCCTTTAATCGGACGGTCCGAGCGTCTTATAATATTACAAAGACGCTCGGGGCGGACACGTGGACGGCGGATGAGGGCAGCATACTAGTATGCGTACGTATGTAATGCATAGGGATTCAATGCAGCAGTGACACGTGTAACAGATTCGCATTGGATCAGTCCATAATAACAGACCACACAGGCCTAGTAACAGACCACACAGGCCCATGTAGTGGCCCAACTGCTCAGCCGAGATATTGTAGCCCACTTGGGATGCAGATGGGCCTGGGTCAGATCCACGATCTGAAAGGTCATCACCTGGCCCAGTCCAATCTCGGAGATTGCATTACGGATCTGGCCCAATGACGTTCCAGGCCCAATTAAGAGATGATTGGTGCTTGGCCTGACTATTGCGGAAGTGGAACGACAAAGTGCAGGCTGCTTGGGAGCATAGTTGCAGTGCCACATGTCCACGTCTTCTTCGGTGAAGAGATCGGACAGTATGTGCACTCTCGGTGTTCGGAACTGGACTTTGTCTGGTACTTTAGCGGTTGCTAGCTTCATATGCGCCTTTATCTTGCAGAAATTGACTCCACTCTTGATGTTGGAATCTTCGAGCTTGTACTTGGCCACCCACGGACACTTGTCATCGTTCAGGGACGAATACGAAGTGCCGTAGTAATGGAGTATGATCGGACATGTGACCGGAAATACGTATTCGGCCTGCAACTGATCCTCTCCTTCGACTCTCGTGTCGAAGATGAGCACCCGCACCTTGCCGGTGCTGTTGATCGGAATCTGGGGAGTATACCTGATTTCGCAGTGGTCGATTAGCATGGAGAGCCTACGCACCCGTTGGATAATTGTCGAGGAGAACGCAGGGAAGGAGATCCTTATGGTCTGAGCATCTGATGATGCTCGTGCTTCCATGATATCTGATTTGTAGTATCCAGCAATGGATTGATCAGTTGGTATCTCCATTGAAATGTTCACGTGTTCCTGAAGTTGATGGAGGATAGATGATGAGGAAGGAAGTGTTTGTGTTGTGTTGGTGAAACGGTGTCGTTTATATAGAAGGATGTGTGTTGGAACTGTTTAGGATCTCTACCCATATGACGTCAGCCAACCCAATAGAATGACGTCACTCAACCCATTACAAAGTATCTGTTGTATTGGGTAGACTGGGTTGAGTGGGACCCTTTAATCGGATGGTCCCACTCAACCCAGTCTACCCAATACAACAGATACTTTGTAATGGGTTGAGTGACGTCATTCTATTGGGTTGGCTGACGTCATATGGGTAGAGGTCCTAAACAGTTCCAACACACATCCTTCTATATAAACGACACCGTTTCACCAACACAACACAAACACTTCCTTCCTCATCATCTATCCTCCATCAACTTCAGGAACACGTGAACATTTCAATGGAGATACCAACTGATCAATCCATTGCTGGATACTACAAATCAGATATCATGGAAGCACAGATTGCTTTCCAATAATGTTTCCAAAGTTAAAAATCTATCCCAAAAAAGAACAAAATATTTGCAGAAGCAAAGATTTGCACCGGCTTGTAACAACCTTGATAATCTTGCTTTCCATTTACTCCTCAGACCTGAAAAAGAAAGAACGGGGGCTTTCTCTCCCAGTATAAACTCCGACGATCAAGTTAGAGAATGAATTCCTTTACTTGGTTCATAAAACTGTGAAATATCAAAAAAAAAAAAAAAAAAAAGTGTCTACCTCTTTTTCATTGTTGCCTCCTTTTACATTTCTTCGTGCAGTGAATCACGTATCTTACTGATTAATACTGTGTGCACATCATCTTAAGACCTTGAAATCGAGGTCTTGTATTGAGGTGTCATGTGGGGAACCTACCCAACACATTTGTCGTGTAACTAATGACTCACCAGTCACTTGACTTGTCCCTGAATAGACATCTGTTAGGATATGCGTCAATTCTGTGATATTTGTCCTTTTTATTTTCCTCTCTTCACATAGCATCCAAAATTTGTCTATGCCACAACTCATCTAGTGTTGCACATAAGAAGATGACACTATGAAAGTCTTGACTTCTCATTCTAATTTTGCAGAGCAAACTTCTGATTAGAAGCTTTTTACACTATTTTTTATACCGCCTCAAAACATTCTAACTTCACATAACCACTGGATCACTTAGCGGTCAGAAAAAGTCTCTTAGAATCTTTTTTGCTGTATTCGAGTCTGTGCCAAATAAATAGAGGTGATAAGGATCTAGAGAGGAGTGGGATGGTTAAAAAAATTCATGATAATAATGTACATTGTACGCACACATATAGCACGCAAGCTGGGGATCAGATATTGCGCAAGTAAAATAATGTTTACGTATTTCATTATCTAGAGCCATCATTATGGTTGAGAATTAGCCATTATACAAGTTATGTATACATCTTATTACGTACCTTTTTGTTATAACTAAAAGCCATTTCTGGCTCCAACCTGGGCATAGGTTTTTGTTTTCAAATTAAATGTCCGGGAACTGGATAGTTTCTGATCATTTGTTTCTATAGTAAAGATGGATGGAATCCCCTGTGGTTGAGCATAATACCTTCGACATCAAAAAGCTTATTTGATCCACATAATTTTCTACTAAATGGACACATGATTGCTGCTCAAACACACTGAAAATCTTGAAGCGTGTTTGAAGCCAAATCGTTTATCCATTAGGCCCGAATACAGGAGTCAGATTGCGAAGAAGTTGCTGCAGCAGACTTAAGATCCTTGGATTTCTCTGATAAATTTCATGGAAAGTAGAGCTTTGCAGTAATGGTACATCTCATTGATTCAATAGCCTTTTCTTATCTAGCTGTTTCAGAGAAACGATCCAGGCAATAAACAACTTTGTGCAACATTCTTGCACCAGGATTTCTAGCAAGTTGATCCTAATCCACCATGCAAGTCAAAACTTGAAGTGTGCCCTTACCCATTTCATCCAGTTTAGGCACAATGGAAATACTTCTGTTTCAAGCAAAAACTGAAAAGCAGTTTGGGCTTGCTCCGGGTCATCAAAAGTCGCAAGGTGACAGAGGATAGCCAAGCTATCGAGCCTCATTTGAGCCAGAGCTTTATCATCAGCTTATGTTTGGAGAAAGTGGTATAGATAATAAGGTATCTTAGCTGCAACAATGAATATTGAGTATTTGACAAAAGAAAAAATTTTAGTATTAAAATACCACATGATTACTCTGAGACGAGGGGCTAATATAGTTAACATATAGATTTTTTTTCTAAATAATCCTTTTCTTGCTTATTATTTGGTATTTTTTCTTTTTCATGTTCTATTAGGTTTTTGTGATTATCAAAGATTTTTTTTTTCTAAACAATCCTTTTCTTGCTTATTATTTGGTTTTTTTTCTTTTTCATGTTCTATTAGGTTTTAGTGATCATGCATTTTATATTGTTAAATCACATAATTGTAGTTGCCAAAATTTTGCTATGTTTTCAATATTTTCTTGAAATTGTTTATCTATTTATTGGTCATTTATTTACATGCATTCTAATGTGATTTTTTATTATTTTGTAGGTTTTTTGAAAGAAAAAAAAATGAAAATTGACAAGTGTCCATTTTACCTAATAGTTTATGCATATTTTAATTTATTTATAGTTAATTCTGAGCTCCTAAGATAATGTGAGTGATGATTTTGGCAATATTTGATGTTTTTGAGTAATATTGAGAAGACTAGTGAATTCAACCTTTTTAGTTGTTAATGTTTATCATATATTTGGTAGGGATGAAGGAGCAAGGACAATATGGGGTCATTTAAAAAATTCATCACTGGATTGGATGAGAGCATACGGGGCTGGATAGTGAATTTCAAATCAGATATCAAATCAGATACCGCTAGAATGTTTTGTAAGAGAAAGGATGTTGAGCAGTATACAGTGTTGGATTGAGAGAGTGAAGTTGGATAATTGTGCCAAATACTCGTCAGAAAATTTTTTGAAGAAAAGTGTTTAATAGTATACGGCGCCGGATAGTGAAATTCGCTTCAAATACCGCTTCGTATACTTAAGCGGAAAAAATCTGCAATTTGTGCAACTTGCACAACTTGCATATATCTTTTCATCCTTTTTTCTGGCAGCATCCATGACATTTTGGCAGCAACAGTTTGGGCCCAAAACATCAACTTTTGTTAACTTTGTGTCATTTCATCTCACAATCTTGATTGTTCAACACCAAGCCAAGCTTCTTGTGGAAGATTCAAGAGATTTTGAAGATTATAAATATAGCAGCCTTTAGTCTTAGAAGAAGCTTTTGGGGAGTTTTAGTTTTATTTAGTTTTAGAGAGGGAGAGAGCTTTGGAGCAAAAGAAAGAAACAAAAGGGGTTGTGTCCTGCCCTTCGAGGCAAGACACAAACCCACCACATTCATAGCTTTTTCCATTTCTATTAATTTGTAGGATTAGTTTAGAACTTGTATTGTGCATCCATTCAAGTAAAAGCTGAGCAAGGAGGAAGATTGGGATGAAGAAGAGGCACGGTGGAGGCTCTAGTGACAAGGGTTATCCTCTTTCCCAAACTCTTTATCTTGTATTTAACTCCATGTTCAGTCAATCTACTAGTTTGGATACTATGTTGTTGTTGTTATTTTAAAGTTTATGCCTTGGGTATTTGGTT